ACTTTGTCGTCAACATAATCAGCTACGATAGTTTTTCACATGGTGGATTGATCGGCTACGTAAATGTAAAAGAGAAAGGGGAAGAGTATGCCAACCTGTGGTATACCACCTATAATTGGTGTGATTCCCGATGTCGACGACTTATATTGGACTTTAAAGTGTCTATCAGTTAAATAAAATTTAAATAATAGAAATAATGAAGAGGGGAGATATGTTTTAAGTTTGAATTGCATGTCTTCGTGCCTAACCCGGTGGAAGGCTTGGGCAACGTCTAGAAAAACACAAGAGCAATAAAGCTTTTTTTCAAGAGATGCAGAAATAACATCGACAACTCGATTAACTTGATGTATCGTACAATGAGAATTGCGGAACCAGGACTGCGTGTTTGGAAGTATGTTGTTAGTAATAATATGCGGTAGTAAGCGTTTTAAGATAAGCCTTTCCAAAATTGTTGCCAGGAAGGACAAGAGATGGTCTATATGATGTTGGAGTATCAAGTGGTTTATTAGACTTAGGAAAAAGAATAATTTTAGAGAACTTTATGGAAGTTTTATGGAAGATCGGAAAAATGTCCGGAATCTAAATCAAAAATAGTATTTTGTATATTTTCCAATCTTTTTTCCGGCGTTTCCATAAGGTTAGGTTGTATTTAAGACTGGTGATTTTTTTCCAATCAAGTCTATAATAATTAATAATTAATAAGTTACAATAAATTATGACCACACGGCGTTATAAGTAGGCAATTTAGCTACACCACTATCTTGGAATAATACATTTTTATTACTTCGGTAACTATCATTGCATTATAATAATATTATTACATTATGATTATGGCGATGACGTATTGTGTCTGTTTAATAATATAATAATATATACTATTAAACCGCGTTGAAGGCACAGTGTTTTCAGATAGTAAGTTGCCGATTTTTGTGGTACTGCCTGCAATTTTGGTTGCAACTATGTTTATGTGTCATTTTAATGCATACATATTTTAACGAACTTACTTAAATGCTTATATTGCCTATTTATAGAAATATTTCACAAACTTGTGTATCCAAGCATTTAATTAATTACGTTTGTTGTAATGTTAAATTAATTAATTTTTAATAAATCGTTCAAATATAATGTCATTGGATTATGATCTCAAATTCAATAAATACAATATACGAGTACATGTACTCAATTATATGTTACATTTTACAATGGTGCGCAAGTTAATGAAAATAATTAACTGTGGCAAGTTAAGTTAATTCATTTAAATTGCTTCAGTTAAGTTAAAAGATAATAAAGAAAAAATTTAACTAGATAAGTTTAAAGTTGAGATAGAAAATAAAATCAACTTATCTCAGCTAAAAAAAGTCAATTTTTTCAGTCAATAAACTACCATAGTATTTTGCTATACACAAACATTTTCCTAGACATTTAACACTGTGTAAATAATTTTATTATTATAGTATATAATTCGAACATAAATTACTAAAATCGTAAAAAAGTCGATGAATCAGTATTGTCTAGTTGAATACGCATGATTCGAAAAGAAAATTAACTTAACTGCACGACAATGATAATTAATTATAACAAGTTAAGTTACAACAATAACTATTTTAACTCAAGAAGTTAATAAGTTAAAAACAAAAATAAATAACTTAACTTTAACTTTTTAACAAGTTAATGCCCACCTTTGGTATTTTATAATACCATATTAAGCATGTAAATGACAATAATTACATTTTAGTGTTAACTCATTATCTTATATTATTTTTCCAAGTTTAGGTACATACCAAGATAGATAACTTAGTTATCTATTACTGTATTACAATAAAAAGATAAATTAATTTTCAAATGTTCATTAATCATTATTAATTATTTGTAAAAATAATTTATAATTTCCCCGATAATGATAATTTGTTTCCTCTTGAGAGTTTATTGTTTATTATTTTTCATATACCACACACTAATTATTGAACGTTTAAGAATAAAAATATTTTATTTAACAAAAACAATGTAGGAATATGGTAGTATTGATGAAGCTCTTATTCAAGTTGAATTTTAAATATAACGTTATAAATAATTGAAGTATAATATTTTATCTATTAGAAATAGGCACTCCATAATTTTTAAATTGAAAACTTGTACATGATATTAAACAGTCAATATTTTTTAGTATTATGTAACATTTCAACTTTCAAGCATTATGGTTTTTTCTGCCAAACAATCTATTTGTTTTCTACCATTACGAAAACGTCTTCTCGCTTCACTTAATTGTTTAAGATCAGAATCTTTTCCATCAGCTTATCCCGTTGTACCATTTCCTTTAGCTGGTTGTCTTAAATTTAACATTTAAAGTACTTTTTTTTGCCAAAGTATCTATTAATTGTTTTCTACTATTTTCAACAGCTTCTGTTGCTTGAAAATACAAAACACAAGAATAAAATAATGTTATTTTTATTGATACAATATTCAATAAACAATTAAATCGAATAATTAAATTATGTTAATATTATTTTATTAAATACTAATAGGTACCTCCTCAATATTATTATCTGTGATAATTACATAACATTAATAATGATACTTTCATCTTGATATTAATCTTAGACTAGCTAAACTTAAAATGTTTTGTCTGCAAAATATTTATACTTTAGTTGACTTCAGTGTTAATATAGGTAACAAGTCCTGTGAATAATTTGTATATAGATATCTATAATACACAATAGAAAATGTGTTTGTAATAATTGCAGTCTGCAGTTATATTTTTTTCTAGTATACTTTCCATTACGGCATCAATACTACGTTTTACATAATTCCTGTTTAACCTACACAGAAATAATACTAAATTCAATATTTTAGATTCTGAGAAGTATAAGGTACAATAAATGTATTGATTTCATAATGATATGTGATTTTTTTCTTTGTGCCGGTCATTACTTTTTGGGGAATTAAGTATATGCTCTAATTTAATACTTCTATTATGTTAGCAAAGTGAACATTTTATAGAAGTTTTCCGGAAAAACTTTAATTTTTAAGTTAAACCAGTTTTAGACAAAAACATTAATTGTTTTTTGGCTTACCTAACTCAAAAACTAATATTATTCTTCGATAATTTAAATGTCCATAAAATGTTTATACAGTGGTTTTTCATACATGATCCAATTTTCAAATTATTTTGAATAAATAACTGTCCTTCAGTCAAAAAATTTTTTTTTTATGAGTAAAAGTAAAAATGTAATTTAATACAAGGTTCCTCATATAATTATATTACCTTAAAAAAATTAATATGAGAGTTGAATGTATGTTTGTAGCTTACCTACTGAAAAACTACTTAATTGATTTTGTGAAGATTTCAAATCGTTCTTTTAGATATCAGAAAAATGAATAGAGTAGTTTGAACTACTTTAGATTTATATTAAGTCCTATATCCAAGAATTTTCAATCTCAGTCGAAGAAGTTCACAAAGCTAGGTACACCAAGGACGTAAATTTGCTCGTGAACTGAGGTACACCAAAACCAAGGTACACCTATATGAGCTATTATTTATATATTTTATTTTTTTCAAGGCCAAACTAAAAAATACAGCTAAAAATGTACGGTTCCTCCGAAGTTAATAGAACCAAAAACTACTGGTTATACAATTATACCTATATCAAAAACAACCAGATGGCAAATTGTATCCAATCCGCCGTAGGTTTCGCATGAAGTAAAATGGACAAACTTGGTACAACTTTGAAACTTTAGAGTTAGAAAATATATACACTTACGTACGCACCCCGGGGTATAATATACTATAGTAAAATATAATATAATCACAAGCTAGTCTCAAGGGCAACGCCTGGCGGGAGGGCTATATAATATATAATCGAACGTGTCCCGACTGACTGACTCATCAGCGTAGAGCCTAAACAACGATAGCTCGAAGCTTGCAATTTTCGTGGTACATTCGTTTTTCTTATGAAAGTGTGCCCAAAGAAATCATTTTCTGAAATTCGCATTTTAAAGTCGTGCTCGCACACGTATTTGGAAATTTTTTAATAAAAATAACTGATAACCATAAAACAATAATTGATAAATAATAAATAAATACAATACATTTTTATTCCGATATTGTCTAAAAGTTTAGTATCATAAATATGATTGAAGTCTTAGTAGTGGTTCGTACTATAATTCTTTCTAACATAAAATTCTTTTACATAGCTTATGGTATTTTGTGTAATTGTTTGTAATTACCTCTGACACCAGTAAAGCATAGAACCCAGCTCTGTGGAACTGGGTGATATTTATAAGTTATACCGATGGTCCCCTAAAGTTGATAAGTGTAAGAATAAAAAGTATAAATTTGATCTATGTAGCAGCTTGTTATTTTTTTTGAGCTTGCTATATCATTAAACTTGAAAAATATCTTATATATAATATTAATTTTGGCTTTATATATTATTATAATATGTTATTATTGTGGTGTTAACTTTGTTATACCTGGTCATTGCTAAATTTCTATACCCACCATGACTATATAATATAATATCAAATCAGTTATTAATATTTAATTAGACACTTCGTATTTTTTGTGTTGATAGTAACTGTGATTAATAATTTGTATTCGATTATTAAAAAAGTATCAAAATAAGATAAGTCGTATCAGTTAATAGTTTTATTAATTCATATTATAATATTATAGCAACATTTCAATAATATGTAAATTATAGCATAATATAAATAATAATCAATATAATAAGTATTTCACAAATATCCCTAAACCAATAATATTAACTATACTATTTGATTTTTTTGTATTAAAAAGGATAGAAATATTATTGGAATCGAGAAAAAATAATGGGTGTTAAAAAAATAAAAGCAGAAATGTTTTCTGAATAAACTAAATATTATTTTACAAAAAAAAATTGATTTAAAATTTTAGTTTTAATTTATTTTATTAATTTTTCAAACAATCTGTCACTTAAAGATGGATCAGTACATATTTGAAATTCATTTTGATTCCGATTAATCTAATCGTCCCACTTTAGCTTTTCAGCCATTTCGGGTCCGAATTCACCAAATGCTGCCCCATCACTTTCCTCACCTGTACCATACTCTCTTGAAAATCCATTACCTTCAATATAGCTATCAGATTTTACGCCTCCATAATTTCCAACAGTTCTATTTATATTAATACTATTTGACTTACTTTGTCCTTTATCTCCACTTTCGTCATCAAATGTTATACTTCCAACTGATCCTCCGAATGTTCTCTTTCCACCACTTCCATTCATTTTACCAACGCCACTAGATGTTGAACTCCTATGAGTTCTTTGTCCTTCACCAAATTTTATATTTTCTCCACCAGATACACCTGTTCCACTCATAGTTTTTCTATCTAATCTAATAGATCCAACAAATCCACTAAATCCTCTATCTTCTTCGCCACCTGATCCACCTTCTCTAGCAAATCTCATGGATCCAATTGATCTACCAACCCCCATATCTCCTTCTTCTTCCCATTCCGATCCCCCAGCTCTACCACCATTTTTTCTACCTAATCTTATAGATCCAATGGATCCACTAAAACCTCTACCTTCTTCTTTTTCTCCACCCGATCCACCTTCTCTACTTTTTTTTTTTCTACCAAATCTTATTAATCCATTTGATCTACCCACCCCTATATCTCCTTTTTCTTCCCCACCCATTCTACCTGTTCCGTTTTTATTTTTTCTACTAAACCGTATAGATCCATTGGATCTACTAAGCCCTCTATCTCCTCCTTCTTCCTCGTCCGATCCCCCTGCTCTACCACCATTTTTTCTTCCCAATTGTATGGATGCATTTGATGTACTGAATTCTCTATCTTCTCGTTCTTCCCCACTCATTTCATCTGCTCCACTTTTATTCTTTCTGCCAAACCGTATGGATCCATTAGATCTACTAAACCCTCTCTTCCCTTCTTCTTCCTCACCCGACCCACCTGCTCCACCATATTTTTTTCTACTGAATTGTATAGATCCACCTGATGCACTAACTCCTCTATCTCTTCCTACTTTTTTATCTTCACCATTTGCAATAAACATTCTGCCTCCACCATCACTACTTAATTCACCAAATTCTTTGGTTTCACCTTCCCCAATAAACCCCTGTTTAGCGCGTTTTCCAGCCTCAAAACTAAATTTGGTAGAACCACCAGTACCACTAACAAAATTATTTTTTCTAAACTTATTACCTCCTCTGTAGTTGTTCACTCTATCTACTCCATATTTTTCTTTTTCGCCAATTTTACCACCATATTCTTCACGTAAACTTTTTTCATTTCTTTCATTTGATCCATCAGTGCTATCTAGTAAATTCAAACCATCTTCCCTAATTGACCCACTTAATCTACTAAATGCTCCCAATTGATAACCTTCATCTGAACCACTCAATCGCTCCAAATTATTCATTTCATTTAAACGATTTGTATCACTTATTTTATTTGTTTCGTAATATATATTTGATAACCCAGGTTCATTAAAATTAACTGGAATTTCAAAATTTGGAATGGTTGTTGAAGATAGTGATGACTCAGAACTCATTTCAGAGGGTCGAATGTTAGTAATTATATTTTCCGATATGCTGGTATCCTTATTATCTCCTTGTTGGCCAACTTGTTTTAACAAAATCGTATTTGAACTTTTTCCCAAACCTATGTTAGATGACATTTTTGTATTCAGATTATCAATATGACTTGTTAATGTACCTTCTGATGTTCCAAAAGGTTGTATTGTTGAAGACGTAGACTCTTGCTGTAAATTGCCATTATATGTAGGTACCTTGAAATTTAAAAATTCAAGATTAAAAAGGAAAAAAGTCTAATTTAAAATGGATATAAAATATTTGTTTATTGATTAATACCGTTTCTTAAAATATGATTTTATATTATTTTCAATAAATCGAAAAAATGACTTTAGGTAAGCTGATTGCAAATATTAGTTATCTGAAATACTTTCTAAACTAGTAGCTCTTGATTTATTTTGTTTTTAAATGTCGATTCAATTTTCAAAAAAAAGTTCAATATTAATTGTGTTGTCCAGTCCAATATTTTCTTATACATAAATAAATAATATAAAATATACATTAAATAATAATAGTCAAATGTAATCAATATTTACCGATTGACTTTTTGTTGATGAATATATTCTGCTCGGGGAACTCCATGAAACTGAAACTCCGGTGACATAAAATATCTAAAAAAAAAAATACAAATGCCGAAAACATTGTTTTCATATTTTCTTATGTTTGTTTGAATTACAGTTTTATTAAGTATACAATTTATAGTATTTATTTTTAAAATTAATTACAAATTATTCATAAAGAGTTGATAAAATTAAGTATTTTATTTAAATAATTAATTTGAAAATAAATGCTATGAAGGTTTAATAAATAAAAAAACCAAAAAAGGATTCAAAGTCCAGTAGTTAGACACTTATTATACTTAAATTTTCTTAGAGCAGGATTGTAATGCATTATTATTTTTAAATTCATTCAAACGATTTTTAGAGGTATATTAACATGCACTTTCATTTTCAATATTTGTAGACTTAAAATTACTCATTTAGTTATTCGTTATTTAATTATTATGAGAAATTTGATAGTTTATTGAACTATCTATTAAAATATAAAAATGTATTGTTTAATTAATTAATTCAATGTGGTACAAATAATCCATAGTTTAAATTTTAATAAGTAAAATGAATAAAAAAAATAATATACAATAATATATTTAAGCGATTATTATCACAGAGAACTGCACTTTTTTTTACTTTCACTTACTTTTACACTGCTAAACAGTTGTTCACAAGAGTTATGATGAAGCAGAATAAATTATATAAATTTAGTAAATTATATTGTTAAATATCTTCTATATGAATTAACTAATCTAATCCTACAACTTATCTATTATTTTATATTTTTATTTTAAAACTAACAAATTGGCTATATTCATAGTACACAATCCAGAACAATAAATTGATTTTATTAAATATTTTAAACTTATATTTATATGTATATTATTAAGCGAATACATTTTAAAACGTTTAAGAAATTTTAATGATACCATTACTGATCACAGTAAATTATATAAAGTAAATTTGACTTATACCTGTAGGATCGATAATGAAGTAAAATAAACAAGGTTGAGAGTCATCCTCATACGTTCTACTTAACTGGTTAAAAACTATAAATGTAATATTATACGGTCTATTAGGTATAGGTAGGTACCTAAATTATGAACTTTTATTTTTTAGTTCCCATATAACCTTTTTATACATCAGATAAAATGTACAATTGAACTCCATTACATGGGTTTTATTATATTGACATATCTATACAAATATATGCCAACCTACAGCAACAATGTCATATTATAGTTTCTGTTGTTTATCCAAGAACTATACGTACCTACCAACATTACACAGTTAAGCATACATATATAAGTTTTAGTTAATATTTTTTATTAGCGGTAATATTAAAAATGGTTTTAATTAATGTTATCACAATTGTTACTTTGATGAACCATTGAAGTGAAAAACAAATAATTACGAAAAATGAACTACTTTAAAAAAAGTTAAAGAACATAATAATTTGTGATTGATATAGGTTAAGAGTCAAGACTCAAGTGTTAAAAATAAGTAAATTTTAACTGTGCCAAATTGAAATAGGTAGATAGTACCTACGCTAAAACGCTTGCTATAGTAAGCCGGTATTTGTTAGAAATTAAAGTATATTCTAAAGACACTCTGGCTGTGTATAATAATATTTCATCTGCGATTATTTATTATTCATCTTGTCTAATAATGTATTACAATTTTATTATACACTATATCATATAATTGATGTATACATTATGTAATGAGTAGGTACACTTGAATCACTTTTATCAAACACTCCGGTAGGTATTTAGCCATTTAGGTATACTATAGTATACTACTTAAACATAATAGAATAATATTTAATAATAATATGTAATTTATGTTTTATTATAAATAAATTACAACTCACAAGTCATAACTTTAAAAAAAAATAATGAGTGTCTCTTGTCTTGCAAACTCGATTGTCACGTCATACTCGTGTATTGTGAAGTATTTATCACGGTTATAGTTTGCTCATACAATTTATTATCATTATATATCTTACAAGTCACTAATCTTTTCATTATATTAATTATCATAAACGTATATTTTTGTATAATATTTAAACTTTATTTTTTACAAATATTGCTACTGTAATTCCTAACAAATAAAGTTCAATCCTGTTATAAGTGTGAAATAGACATTATGTTGATATTAGGAGACCAGTATATTGATATCGATATAGATAGTATAATTTTTTTAATGATTGAAGTGTGTTTACTATAAGTTTAATGAGTATCAATAGTATCATTATCCCTTACTTATTTTAAGGGAAATTAGTGTTCTTAAAATTGATTACTCTTAGTAAACTTACTTTTAATTCATAACTCATTTCTTCAGATTCTATACTTTTTTTCTTCATATAATTGTTTATTCCTATAAAATATATTATTGATCACATTGCTGTAATAAATTTTAAAGTTATTTTTTTTTATTTGTCACATTTTGGAGGTTATGAATGAATTTTATTAAATTTTATGACTTAAGAAATTATTTGACTGAATTAAAATTTATAATTAAAAGTAACAACATTTTTTTGTGTTTTTACAAAATACAACAGAGGAATACAGTATATAAAAATCTAAGCAGCTGTATCTGAAACCTCGATTTAAACCAAACAATAGAATCGGATATAATGTTGATCGGCGAATCAAAACAGATTATTATTGAAGATTATATTAATCTTAACCCAGTAAGTATTCCAGTTGAAATATATTATAACATAAACTTCTTCAAAATATTATTTTGTTATTTTATGTTATGTACCTAGGAGTAGCAATTATTAATTTGTAGGTAGGGCTTTAGATACCTACAAGTACAATAATAATTTATTATAACAGTTTTTATTATTCATCTTATTCTACAGAATATATATAACAAAATACCACGGTAAATAAATCCAGCAGATGATTTCATTTAATTTTTAATGATAATACGAGTATAGTTACTTATGACAGTGTTTGTTAATTTGTTGATATACGAACATGCAACAGTTGAATAATATAATTATAACAATTTGTTTGGTACTATTATGTTAGATTATAAATATTACAAAAAAAAAAATGCAAATAATGTGTTACATACTATTATTACTACCTATCGCTAGGTTCGTTTGATTTTTTCTCTATTTAATTATATATTATACTGATGCCGATCTATTTGATGCCGATGTTTTTCTCGTAAGCTTTCCTTTGTAGATACTGTCATTTGGATTGTCCATTGTCTTTGATGACTGGTCGGTAGCTGACTGCTCTTGTTTGATATTCATTTCCATCATCGTCGATTTCATTCTTGACAGTAAATTATCGAGATGACTTTGCAGATCGACATCAGCTGCCTGCTTGAACAACACAAATTCAATCAATCTATATCGAAACCGTTAATAATATTTTACCTTTTTCGTAATGACTAAACTCCTGTTTTCCGGTGTGAAACTCCTATATCTACTATAACGAGATACTGTGGATTGCGGATAGCGGACTTCTGTGGGTTGCAGATAGCGGACTGCTGTGGGTTGCAGATAGCGGACTGCTGTGGGTTGCGCATATCTAAACATAGGCTGAGTTTGTGCGTATCTGTAGCTGTTGTATGGCCTAAAAAGCTGTGAGTAAATGTCATATTGCGATGACACATAGTTTAAAGATATAAAATATATAAACGAGATTAGCACAAATTTCATGGTAAAAAAAAGAGAAAACTTTGATAAAATAGAAATGGAATTATTACGAATTCGGAACAGTGCCGAATGTGTTTAATGTATACCTAACACCGTTTTCAACGTTCAAACGTGCACATGTTCCTAGTGAAGTAATTATTTTCGGCAGACACTATTTGAACCATTGATTTTAAAATATGTATAACTGTATTTATTTATGTAAAATGTAATCGATTTGGCACATAATGCACAACTCAATTGCCATTGTAAGTGCACACCGTACAACATTCGACATTTTGTAAGTTGTAATAATGCATTATAACATTCAGTGCATTTTGTTTAAAACTTTCAAACCATTATTTCTATTATGTGTTTATTTTAATTGATATTTTCTCGAGTGTGATTTATTTATTTATTTTTTATTTAAAAAAAATTAATTTTAATAATATCTCATACATGATAATATAATATAATATTGAATATTTATATGAATAATGATATTATTTATATGTTTTCTTCAATGGTCAATATTGAATGTCCTCTGATCTGTCAATATTGTGGTTTATTTATAAAGTATTGTACATAACGTTTTATTTAACAATAGGAACCATTTTTAAAGTTGAAAATATTAAGCGCAAAACATGTTTAGTATTATTTAAATATTAAATTATCATACAGTATAATTAATCAAGACGCAACAAGAATAAAATATATAACAACAATAAGGATACAATAAGAAAACTAGAACAAATACTCCAAGACTAATGGAAACGTACTAGTCTAAAGTTTAAAAAACGACACAAGTCAGTTCCCTCGGTGTCGGATAAAAGTAAAAAATTAAAAACCAGTAGTATAAACGATCAAAATATCATTTAAAAATAATATTTCTTAGAGTGTATCAGTACTAGTGTCAACTCACATTTTTAATAATCCAAAACACTCGTTATAACTACGTGTGTTCGCAATATTTGTATTAAAGATAATCAAGTACCTATACATTTTACATAAGTTGTCTTGTAAAATATAGATATTATTTTATTATGTTATAATATTATTGATTAAAAGTATAAACATATTTAGGTTATTCAAAATAAAGTAAGTATAAACAATTTCAGACAATATATTCAACTGAACATTTACATAATAAACTATATTTTCAGTCCAAATGTATACAACTTTAATATGCTATTAAAAAATGGTAAACATGTGTAATTGTTTTATTGGAATACACTGTTAAAAAAAAAATAATAATAATAATTACATTTACCTTCTACACATATGTAAGTACCAACGAGTCTCATTGATTCATAACTATACAGTCGTTCAACACTGTATAATAAGTAGAAGTATGAATTTCAATTTTTAAACGACTATCGCACCTAAAGTCATAAACATTGGGTTACCCAAAATTATACAAAAAAAAAGTGCTCTGGTGTATCATATTAATGCTCTGGACAATCTGGTTTGTACTGTATTCACAATTTGTCTTTTTATGTATTGCAAACTCAACAAACTCTATGACGTTATTATGCTTGAACCCAATAAGTAAGGCAAAAGTAAGTATACTTAAAATCTACATAATTATACCTCGTCATAAAAACGCCTCTACTTTTGGTCCAGCAACCGGTTAAATAATTGGAATAATAGTATTTCTAAAATATAAATTTTCTTGTGAGGAATTATATTAATAGTATCCTATAATTTTGTTGATTTAAAAAAATATAATATATCAATGAGTCATTTTTAGAATACATTTTCTGAAAGTTTTAGAGTAAGTTAAATTGAAAATATTATATGTATTATTAATATTAAAGTACATTCACAGTATTAAAGTAATTAAATACTTATAAAACTGTTATATTAATCATTACAAAAATTATTCTTTCTTTATTTCAACGCCATGTAATATAGTTATAATGAAGTTTTGACTTCGTCGAGTTTGGATATTTAATGCATATTATTTCGTATTAGTAGTTTTCATAATATTTTACAAAATACAATTATTTTTATACTATCTTAAAATCAACATTAGTTCAGATGTTATATATAATTATAATTTAGTAAATATATTATGTCCGTTTACTTATTTTGGTTTTCTATATGCATTTAAATAAAATAATAATTTGAAAATACAAAATTCAAGTTAGAAATCATTTAAAATGATGAAAAATAAGTTATTATATATTCCCATCAATATGGTTTGACTCTTGTCTTATCGATTAACTAACAAATGGTTTGTATTTTTGTGTAAATTTGTAATTTAAACTAAATTTATTTTCAAAGACATATATACACGAATTGATAACGAATACGTTTCTTACCGCATGTCTAGTGTTTTTTTGAACATTTAAACATATTTTTAAAATGTTTAAAGTATTAGGTAGGTAGAAAAATTCACGGCCCTATTATACAAATCAATTATGTACCTATGTTAGTAAATTATTATACAAATGTTTCCATAGTAATTTCACTTAGCGGTTGCTTGAAACGGTTGTACAAATTAATATTTTCATACTATTTTACCAGTACCTATGATACCGGGTTGCATCACTAAACATTTAATGCATCTATATTGAGGTAAAGGTCCCTTAAACATGAATTGGTAGCTCATGATTGGTCGATTAAATTTTATTTAACCATTAAATACAACCCAGCATGAGAATAATTAATATTTTTTTTATTTGAATTTAATAATTAAATTAAATTTTAGAGTAGGTTTAATGGGCTTGTAATGCTATTCATTCATTATAACATTATATTTAATGTCCAGGAAATAGTATATGAAATCAACAAAAAACCTAGCTAGAAGACTAGAGTTTGATTTCTAAACTATGTAAATTGTAAACAATATAATATATTATATATTATATTATAGCCTATAGGTTTACACCATACACTTTGTAATACATATTAAGTTAATGCATAAAAATAAATAAATATTACAAAATAAGTCGTATATGATATAGATTTCTGTACAAATACATATAAAATTAGTTGTTATAAATTGATAGTACTTAATACCTTTGTTTTTGAGTAGAGGGAAAACATTTTTTTTAGTCATATTCAAAGAAATCCTAAATACGCCACCGAATAAAATACAATATTACATTATTTTAAATTAAAAATCATTTTGAATAATTTTAGTTTTGGTGTTAGTTCTTATATTATTATCTGACGAATATGTAATTGAACCTAATATATATGGAACTTTGAAGTGTAGACAAGGCTGAGAGTCTTGTACAGACTGTTACAGTTACGACGGTGTCAGATTTGATATTCACGTTTGTGTGTTTATAAAATGTAAAAATTATTTAAACGATAATAATAGCCTTTGATGTCGTCTAAAAAATGTCATACTTTAATAATATCAAACAAAATAATATATCCTATATCCATCTTAGGACGACACATGGAATATAAATAGAAATTTATTATACGAACATGTTATAACCATACCATATTATCAGACGCATACATATTATACTTGCATATTAAAATTTAATATTATTATCTTCGTTGGACACATATTTATTTTATAATTGAATGAAACACAATGTATAGAATAAACTATACAATCAGTTCAGGCGCGTATCCAGAATTTTATTTCGGGAGGGGCTGAACAAAATTATCAACATAGTCACACAATAAAACAAAAAAGTGGGTAAGTGGATGTCGCTCTGCTGTACAGTAGGAGGTTACAAGTGGGTCACTGTAATGGATGGTGTAAAATTTGAATTCAATGATATAATATCATTGTATAAGAAAAACGATTCTAAGCGAAAACGGTCCAGTCAGCCTATGATATCAGCCTACTAAGTATATTTGATGATATTATTGTAAATAAAGTAATTTATATATTTACCTATTTACGTGGACCATTGTTTTAAATTTTTAATCATTAACTAGGAAAGTTGAACATTTTATAAATTTTTAATTACAAAATATTTATTACATTTTAAATTTGATAAATTTTGTCAAAATTCGAACTTTAAATGATTATAAGAAAAAATTGTACCTATGTATTTTTAATACTTTTCAACTAATATTGTTACAATATATCAGGAGCCTTGCGTTAAATTTTCATGCTTTTTTACCCAACAAAAAAATTTTTATTGATATTTATAGAAAAAAAACTAAGAAAAATGAAAACTGTCAATGTCCGTAAATAGCTCAAAAAGAGGCAAAATATTTTCAAATTTTTTTGGTGTATAAAAAATGAAAACATTCAGCAAAATTTTAAGTTTTGTGATTTTTCCGTATTTTGTCAAGATTCGAACTTTAAATGCTTATAAAAAAACTATGACTAAGGATTTTTAATATTTTTCAACTGCTATTGTAACAATATAGCAGGAGCCTTGTATTAAATTTTCAAGCTTTTTTACCCAACAAATAAAGTTTTATTGACATTCATATTTTTTGGATTTTCTTGAAATTTCAGGGGGGGCTGCATCCCACCCAGCCACCCCCATAAATACGCCCCTGAATCAGTTGTATGTTATACTTCAATGGTTCTTATATCTTAATGATTCAATTATAGCCTTATCAGATCACGTATACATTTATCTAAAACAAAAACAGTTGTGCTTAACCCGTTTTAATCAAAATAAGCAGCGGGAAAGAATTATTATGTGTACGATGAAAAAATAAATAAAAATAAATTTGATTCCGTTATTTATTGTCACATTACAATACACTTTAAAATTATAAACAGTTTTAATAAATTACGTAGTGTTATTAGAGTGATAAGACAAGTTCTATTTACCAAAAACATAATAATTATGACTTATTATATTATATTGTATACATAATAATATTGTGTGGACAGCTAAGTGTTTTAAGTATTACGATGCACACATTATGTAGATATAATTGTGCAAGCAATGTTTTGGTGGCCTCGGATGTCAATTAATATTATTATTGTTTTAGACACGAGTGAAATTAAAACGAGACTTTGGCGATCAAAACCGTGAAATCTACAGCCAAGATTACCGTATTTGCGGAGCTAGTTGGTCGGGTTCCAATTT